TCTGCAACTCGTCGCGTAGGACTCCATACAGCAGCCTTCCATCTCCGATGCTTCCCCACAATACGACAGGACCCATCAGTGAACAAGGCATATTTCTTTTCATTCTCTGGTAACTGGTTGTACAGTGGGGCTTCTTCAGCACGACCCACCTCCTCCTCTGATGATATCCCAAAGTATTTGCCTTCTGGCCAGTCCATAATCACTTCCAAGATTCCTGGGCGACTGGGGTTTCCTATTCGAGCCCGCTGAGTAATCAGTGCAACCCACTTGCTCCATGTAGCATCAGTTGCATGATGCGTAGAGGGGACCCTTCCCTTGAACATCCAGCCTAGTACCGGCAATCGGGGTGCTAGGAGGAGCTGCGCTTCAGTACCGACCACCTCCGAAGCAGATCGAACTCCTTCATATGCTACCAATATCTCCTTTTCAGTTGGAGTATAGCGGGCCTCAGATCCTCTGTATCCCCGACTCCAAAACCCCAGGGGCCGACCTCGAGTTTCCCCAGGTTCTTTCTGCCAGAGGCTCCAGGTGGGGCCATTCTCCCCGGCTGCAGTGTAGAGCACATTCTTTACATCTGGTCCTGTTCGAACTGGCCCAAGGGCTACTGCATGGACTATTTCCTGCTTGATTTGTTCAAAGGCTTGTCATTGTTCAGGGCCCCATTCAAACTCATTCTTCTTACGGGTTACTTGGTAGAGCGGGTTTACGATCAGACTGTAATTTGGGATGTGCATTCTCCAAAACCCCACAACACCTAGGAAAGTCTGTGTTTCTTTTTTGTTAGTTGGTGGAGACATAGCTGTTATTTTGTTGATCACATCCATTGGGATTTGACGATGTCCATATTGCCATTTTATTCCTAAAAACTGAATCTCTCGTGCAGGTCCTTTGACTTTATTCTGTTTTATGGCAAAACCGGCTTTCAGAAGGATTTGGACTATTTTCTTCCCTTTCTCGAAAACTTCCTCTGCTGTGTCACCCCACACAATAATGTCATCGATGTACTGCAGGTGTTCAGGAGCTTCCCCCTGCTCTAGCGCAGACTGGATCAGCCCATGGCAAATAGTAGGGCTGTGTTTCCACCCCTGGGGCAGCCTATTCCAAGTATATTGGACTCCCCTCCAAGTGAAGGCAAATTGTGGCCTGCACTCTGCTGCTAGAGGGATGGAGAAAAATGCATTAGCGATATCAATTGTGGCGTACCACTTGGCTGCCTTCGATTCAAGTTCATACTGAAGTTCCAGCATGTCCGGCACTGCAGCACTCAGTGGTGGCGTGACTTCGTTCAGGCCACGATAGTCCACTGTTAGTCTCCACTCACCATTAGACTTTCGCACTGGCCATATGGGACTATTGAAAGGTGAATGGGTCTTGCTGATCACTCCTTGGCTCTCCAATTGACGAATTAGCTTATGGATGGGAATCAGGGAGTCTCGGTTAGTGCGATATTGCCGCCGGTGCACAGTTGTGGTAGCGATTGGCACTTGCTGTTCTTCGACCCTCAGCAACCCCACAACAGAGGGGTCCTCTGAGAGACCAGGCAAGGTAGATAATTGTTTAATGCCCTCTGTCTCTAAGGCAGCTATACCAAAAGCCCACCGGAACCCTTTTGGGTCCTTGCAATATCCTCTTCTAAGATAGTCTATGCCAAGGATACATGGAGCATCCGGGCCAGTCACAATGCGGTGCTTTTCCCACTCATTCCCAGTCAGACTCACTTCAGCCTCCAATACAGTCAACTGCTGAGATCCCCCTGTCACTCCACAAATATAGATGGGCTCTGGTCCTTTATAGCTCGATGGCATTATAGTACATTGTGCACCGGTGTCTACTAAAGCCTTATACTTCTGTGCGTGTGACGTGCCAGGCCATCGAATCCACACAGTCCAATAAACTCGATTGTCCCTTTCCTCCCCCTGGCTGGAGGCAGGGCCCCCCTAATCCTGGTCAGAATCTTCTTTGTTTCTGTGTTTGAAGGACTGTCTGCTGGAAGTTGGAGCAGCAAACTTTTCAGAGAATCCCTTTTTCCTGATTTCTTTTGCAACTCACGTACCCGTGCCTCTAGGGTCGCGGTAGATTTTCCATCCCATTTTCTCATGTCCTCTCCATGGTCTCGTAAGTAAAACCACAGGGTGGCACGGGGTGAGTACCCACCATATCGTCTTCCTTGTGTGGGTGAACGCCTACCCCTGACAGCTGAGACACTGCTTTGTACAGGTACGGAGGAGAATAATCTCTCTTCAAGTTGGTGAAACTTTTCAGAAAGTTTCTCCCAAGTGTTCTCTTTTGGTCATTGGACACTGGTTGGTTCAGGTTGGGGGGAAGATAGATTCTCTTTAAGTTGGTGGACCTCTTCAGAAAGTTTCTCCACAGCTGAGACGCAGGCCTGTAAGGAAGAGGAGAGACTTTCTTCGTACTGCCAGAGTTGTTTAGCCACTTCATCCACTGTGGGTTCCTCATCCTCTTTCCAGGACATTATTGCCAATGAGCTGGCATATGATGATGGTGCACTCCGTACAAACTTCCGCCACATGGGTCGTGTACACCTGACTTCATCTGGGTCTTTGGATGTTTGTCTGAGGTCTGGATCCTCATAAATCACTTCCCGTACGGCTAATTCCCTCAGGTACTGGATTCCCTTCTCCATAGTGGTCCACTTGCCTGGTAGACATAAAAGTTCTTCCTTGAAGGGATACCTTTCCCTCACAGCTGAGAGGAGACGCCTCCAGAGGCTGTTAGATTGTGCTCCATCTGCAATTGCTTTGTCAATGCCGGCGTCTCGAGCAAGGGATCCCAGCCGCTTGGCTTCCCTGCCGTCTAATTCCACACAATTGGCTCCAGAGTCCCAGCACTGGAGCAGCCAGGTGACAAGCTGCTCACCTATACAGCGACCAAAATCTTTTCGCACATCTCGTAGCTCACGTTCGTTTAGGCTTCGGGTAGTTACTGTTGATTTTTCGGCATCCTCATCTTCCTCCTCCTGAATCCTTGATGGCCCAGCGTCGTCGTCATCTTCGTCATCTCTATACCTAGATTTGGCAGAAGACTTACCTGGATTGGCAGAAGACTCTCTGCGTTCTAAACGACCTGAATCTCTATACCATTTTTTCACCTTCTCTACAGGGGCAGCTTGCACTGCTACTGCTCGTTTCTCTGACTTTGTTACAGGGTCTGCCACAGAGGTTGTAATACCCTCTGCAGGGTCAACTTGCACTGCTACAGCTTGTTTCTCTGACCCTGTTACAGGGGTTGGAATACCCTCTGCAGGGTCAACTTGTACTGCTACAGCTCGTTTCTCTGACACGGCCACAGGAGCTGGAGCGGCTGCAGGAGCTGGAGCAGTTGCAGGAACCGGAGCTGTAGCGGCTACAAGAGCTGGAGCTGGAGCAGTTGCAGGAGCTGGGACTGGAGCGGCTGCAGGAGCTGGAGCTGGAGCGGCTGCAGGAACTAGGACTGGAGCAGCTGCAGGAACCGGATCTGGAGCGGCTGCAGGAACCGGATCTGGAGTGGCTGCAGGAGCTGGGGCTGGAGCGGCTGCCGAGTCCACCGTAGGGGTCACAGTGGCCGTTGGATCTGTCACAGGGCTTGGAGTGGCCGCAGGGTCTGTCACTAAGTTGATAGCAGTATCAATGGCAGCTCGATAGGCATGAGCCAGGCCCCAGCACGTTACAATGATTTGTGTTACTTTGGAACTGCCAGAATCATGACACCTTTTTTTCAAGCATTCTGCCAGTTTTTGAGGATTTTGCCATTGCTCAGGGGTGAATTTCCAACACACTGGGGGTGCCAACTGCTCTAGATGCCTGCCCATATCCACCCATACTCCCTGCCACCCACAACTATACTGCCTCCGGGCAGATCTCCGGATGAGCTTCCTAAGTAATTGTTTAACTTTAAGCAGAACCTGAAGTGCATTCAGGAGGCAGAACAACAAGACTATGGTAGTCCTGAGTATCCCAATAGTATTCAATATCTTGAAGAGCTATTGTGACAAGCTCAGGGGATAAGAGGGTGGTGAAGGAGGAAGGCAGAGTGATCCAGGAGGATACAGGAGTGGTGAAGGAGAAAGGGAGAGTAAGCAAGTAAGGAAAAATATCCTCCCCTTTCCCCTCCACAGATTGACTCCCTAATGGAAAAAAACAATAGGTATAATTGCTAATAGTTTCCAAGATACAGTTTCCAAAGTACAGAGTTGATGATGTTACTGAGTACAAATAACAAGTTAGAGTCATGACCAGATATTTCATCATCTCATAAGCCATTGCTACAACACACAGTACCATAATGATCTGAAACCAGGGCCCGGAGAGGATAAACAACACGACAGAGAGCAAATACGGAAAATAATGTACTATAATACTCAATTTGGAAAACAGGCGCAGCAGAGTTGAGATTAAAGCAATCAGCATCATGACAAGTGACTATTAAGCAGGTCTAATCCTTACACCAATTTTAGTTTAACACACTCTGGTCAGATCTGCCGTTGTCTCAACCTTTCGGGCCCCACATTGGGCGCCAAAAAGACTGTTGTGGTTTAACCCAGCCGGCAGTTAAACACCACGCAGCCGTTCGCTCACCCTCCCCCCTCCCTCTCTGGGACGGGGGAGAGAAATGGAAAGTGAAGCCTGTGAGTTGAGATAAAGACAGTTTAATAAGACAGGAATATAATAATAACAAAATAATAATAATAACAATAATAATACAATGGTGATAATAGGGAAATAATAATAATATGTACAAACAAGTGATGCACAATGCAATTGCTCACCACTCGCTGACCAATGCCCAGCCTAACCCCGAGCAGTCCGGCCCCCTCCCCTGGCTAGCCATCCCTATATATTGTTTAGCATGACGTCAGATGGTATGGAATACCCCTTTGGCTAGTTTGGGTCACCTGTCCTGGGTCTGTCCCCTCCCAGCTCTTACTGCACCCCCAGCCTGCCCGTTGGCAGGACAGAGCAAAAGGCTGAGATGTCCTTGGCTTAGTATAAGCACTGCTCTGCAACAATTAAAGCATCGGGGTGTTATCAGCACTCTTCTCATCCTAAGCCAAAACACAGCATTCCACCAGCTACTAGGAAGAAAATTAATTCTGTTCTAACTGAAACCAGGACACCATGTTTTCTCACAGTATGCGGAACTGCAGATTTATAACTTCCTTAAATGTGCAGCTGTAAGTATAAGCTTCACCTACACTGTCATATTATTAACAAACCTAACTCCTCAAGCCATGTAAATTTGCACTTGGCCTCTATTCTGGATCGAATTAGACTATTTGGTGGATACATCCAGGGATAGCTTAGGTACTGTTGACATGGCCAGAAATCTATGTGTAGTATTATGCATTAAAAGTACATAATATTTATTTATTTATTTTTTGTCAGATAAAATAGAAATGAATACAAATGGAATATAAATTGGAAGTTATGCACACTTTATTTTTTTCCACAGAAAACTTTTCGAATAACAGGAAATGAATAGTAGAAGAAGGCCTGCTGTAAAAGGTACTCAAGATCAGACAATGGTAAAGAAAATTCATCAGAGTGAAAGCTTTTATTTTCACTGTTATCTAAAACAACTAGACACACAGGAGTAAAATGGCTGGAAGTTATTTATTTATTTACTTACTTATTTATTTATTGGTTATTCCAACTGATGACCAGCTGAAGTCATGCTTAGCATTTCCAATGGACTTTGTGCACATGTGGCTCCAAAATGTTAATTGCTCCCCAGATTTTAAAAGACATAATCTTTGCCTTGAGAAACTAATTGACTGAAAGCAAATATTTTAGTCTAGAGCTTGTTTTAAGCTCTACTGGAATATTTATTGTCAAGTCAAGTGATATCTAATAAACTAAACTAAACTTATGGTCAAAATTTCAATTCCTTTTTGTCTCTGTGTTACTGACAGGTACGAAAGTTTGGTTTTGTCACTCCAGCTGCCAAATTCTCGTAAGGCATTTGGAAATAATTTGACATAGTACACATTGACATCTTTGCTGTGGATCCTTGTTATTTTACATGACTCTTTCTTAATGAACATCAACATATGAAAACTCCCATTGTGAACCATGTATTTATTTAAACGAACCTAAACAAAAGTATAGTTTATTTAAAAAATAAATCTCCTGAGGTTTACATGCAATATCTACATACTGATTTCAGTAAGAGCTCAGAATAAGACTATTTATATTAGTAGGTTTAAAAGATTACCAGTGTTACAAAGAGTATGTTTCATCAAAATCCAGATTCAATTCCATGTGCTTCATCCACAAATGCTAAAACGTTGTGAATCTGATCTGTTCCACTGGATGTCTTGCCTCTGTTTGTGTTCACATACTTGTGTATCATGCTGTAATGCTGCTCTTTTGTACTGAAGCCATATGGGAATGAAATCTTCTGCCAGTCTTCATTGCTGGGAGTACAAAATGGTGCTGGGTCAGCAGGTTCAAAAAATAAGTGAACGTTTCTTTCTGCCAGCTTGGCTGCATGGTCTTTAGCTTTGATTTCAAAGACCTCTTGTTCCTTTTTCAAGTAAATTTTCCAGAACTTCAGCTGAAAGTGGCTAACTGGGGAGCAACAGTAGCTGAAACACGTTGAAATGAGTGCCGCAGTCATGATGATGGCAATCAGCAACCATCCTACCATCTTGGAAAAGAAATAGGTAGGTTAACAGTGTTTTTACATGGTCCTATGTAAGGGTATAGAACATAACATTGAATCAGACATGGAAACCGTGTGTTTTGTAGGCAGAACATTTGACTATTAAATACAGGAATCATTCCTGGTTTGTACAGGGTTTTATCATACCTAGAATGTTTGGTTCTTAATTTTGCTGAAAGTAGGTCAGGTATAAAAAATAATGTACATTAATCACAATGATCTCATGTGTCTTCCATATTTGTTTGACTTGTTTGCTTCTTTTAATTTTCATTGAAATATCAGTAACAGTCCGTCTTCCTTGATTTTACTCCTTTCTTACACTATCAGAATTCAACTATATAAAATTTGCCCCTTTCCAGTCTTTTTCTTGGAGAATCCACAAGCTAAATACTTAACAAATTTAAACACTGTGTGTGTGTTATAAATCTAACCAGCCATACAAATAACCAGCCAAATCATTAACTATCATTAATGTTTTCCTGAGAAAAAGTGATGAAAAATGGTTTATTTCCTGGAGCTAAGGAGAAGACCAAACAAACAGAAACAAAACTGTAGTGCTGCCAAAATGCTTTAGATTCATTTCACTGCAAATGAAAAAAAATCCACTTGCAAATGCTATTGATTTTTTGATCATGCATTTTTCTTTCAGCGCTACAATAAAACTGTAGTGCTGTAATAAAATAATAATACTGTAGTAAGGTAGATATATTTTTTAAGCTATTCACGTAGACTACAAGTGTGAATAACAGGTCCAAGCTCTGAGGTTTGTAGTCAAACCAGCCATCTATTGCTTCACTCGCCAGTTCTCTGTTGCAATGAGACATTGGCTTCCTTCCTATTCATAACCTCAGCTTTCTCTCAGCTAATGCATACTTACAACAGTTTGAGATATTTAGAGGGGTAAAAGTGGAAAAAGAGATGAGATTGTGCCAGCTCTAATCTAAATGAGAAAAAAAAAATGCAGCCATGGAAAGTTCCCTGCCCAGCTCTGGAAAAGGTTTTGCAAGTGCCTCTGCCAAGAAATTGCTATGCAAACATGCTAAAACAGAACCTAGCACAAACAGCCACTTGTTACCTTTCTGTTAGTATTTTTGACCAATGAATTTTTGCTAATAGTGTACTTTTGCTATTCACACAGTGTGAGAGATAAGGGCTCTTGCAGTCCCCTGCAGGCACCAGTGTGTGTGAAGAGAGTGGGGCTGAGGTCCATCAGTGAAGAACACAGCAGAGAAGCTTTAACTAGGACTAGGGTACATCAGGGAAGAGCATAGCAGAGGGGCTTTACCTGGGACTGGGCTTGAAGGCTGTGAAATGCACCTATCTTCTTGGACAACTCCTCGTCACAGGGTATTTTCTCCAGCGATGCGTTGCAGTACTCTTTGATGTCCTTGCACACCAGCTTTCTGATGAAGCTGTTCCCACTTGCTGCACATGCATAGAAGCTGGCACTGAGCAGGGCCACCGCGATCCAGGTGAAGGGGGCCACCAAGGCACTGGCTGTCACTGGCACCAGCACTTTGTGAAAGTGTCCACAGGAGTCACAGCTGCACTGGTTCTTTGGAGAGCATCTGCCTGTCACCAAAAGCCAGACTCTGGCATTTGTCATGTAGCCGAGCAGGAAGAGGACGAAGGCTGGCGCTATGATGAAGGCACAGCCATACAAGGTGTTCCAGGAATTGCAAGGACACTTGAAGACCACGGAGGAGAAGATATACTCGCTGGCAGCTGTCAGCAGGGACACAATGCTGTAACCCAGAAACTTCTGGTGGCGGATACAAAAATCCATTGCAGTGCGTAACTTTTCCATTTTCTGCTGCAGGCTCTGGTGGTCTCCCTGTGTTTCGAGGACGGTGAAATCTCAGTCAGGAAAGAAAAGTCAAAAGAGGTGTCTTCAACGTCCAACAGCTTATAAAAGCCCACAGAGCTTTCACTTTCTGTTGGTGAAGCTGTAGCAGCAAATCACTGAAGCGGCCTTTTAGGGGGAACAGAAGAGCATGAACTCACTGCACAGTGTGACAGTCAAGTGGATACCCCAGTGGAAGCCCACCCCAATAATCAGCATCAAAACAGCGAAGTCTGTCTTTGTTTGTATAAAAATAGATTTATATTTGTCCAGACATGCCTGCATTACAACTATCAATGGTTTAAACCTCACAGTCTTCTCAGGGAAGCTTTTGAGTGAGGCATCAGATTAAAAGTGTGAATAAAATGTAAGGAAACCACCCACAATTGTGTACATTTTTTAATCCAATCTTATTATTAGCAATACAATATGGCTTGTTCTTTACAGAAGAAAATTCATCTATAATCATGTCAATTTTTAAAGCTAACCAATTAATCATTTTAAAGTAATCAGAGAAGGTTGGCCAATGTACACCTAGCATTGATCCAGGATTACTGAGTGAAGGTTTGGCTACCAGAGTGCCTTCTGCCAGGAATCAGACTGTGGACTCCCACCAACATAGCAGCTAGTGGCATCTGTATAGCTTCTCACCCCCCCAAAAAACCACCTGCTCCTAAAAAGCAAAGATTAAGCAGCTAAGCCAATGGCATAAAGTGGAAAAATGATGCAAAAGGCTTGCATACTGAAGAAATATATCTGGAAGGGATTGGAAGACTGAGCTTCCTGTGAAAACATTTGTTCCTGGATTACATAGGTTTCACTGACACCCTGAGGGGCTTTGACCAGACCCCTAACAAAGATTTTTCTCATCTGACATCTTTTCTCAGCCGGACATTTGTAGAAACTATTTCAAGCAAGTCAGCAAGTATGAAGTAGATTAGTGACCCATACACAGTCATCCAAGTAAGCTATCACATATATTCATAGAAACATAAAATCATCAAATGGCTTGGGTTGGAAGGGATCTTTAAAGACCATCTGGTTCCAACTCCCCAGGTTGCTCACAACCCCAACCAGCCTGGCCTTGAACACTATCAGAGACGGGGCATCCAGCACTTCTCTGGGCAAAGACATACTTTGTTTCAAAAGGAGACAGACGCTAATTTTCCCGAAATCATTTTTATTTTTATTTTTTATTTTTAATTTTTATTTACATTTTTATTTTTATTATATTTTTTTATTATTTTTATTTTTATTGTATTTATTTTTTCTGGTCAGATTTTCTTGCTACAAAATGCTGCTACTTTTCATCTGGTTATTAAAGGTCCCTTCAGGGTCAGCTCCATGAAAGACATCCTAGAATTAAGGGCTAACTAGCTTTTATGATTGTGGAGTTGGATTTGCTAAGAAAATTGTTTCTTTTTCTTTTTCTTTTTCTTTTTCTTTTTCTTTTTCTTTTTCTTTTTCTTTTTCTTTTTCTTTTTCTTTTTCTTTTCTTTTTCTTTTCTTTTCTTTTTCTTTTTCTTTTTCTTTTTCTTTTTCTTTTTCTTTTTATTTCTTTTTCTTTTTCTTTTCTTGTCAATCAGGAGTTGTCAATCAGGACTATTCAGGTAACAAGGCAAATAAATTTGTACAGTCATGAGGCAGGATAATGCAACTTAGCAATTTGCTAGAGCACTCTCCTGCTAACACTTGAGCACTACCAGCCTGAATGAATGTTTCCAAAAGTTGGCATAAAAGAGATTTGAACAAAGAACTTGACAAACAATATCTTCCTTGTCAAAATCAAAAGATTTTGAACACTGTGGAGTGCAAAAATATGTGTTATCAACCTGTCATCCTTGTACTGAACAGGGTCTGTAAGACTGCCATGTTGCAAGCCTTTACAACACAAGACTTTAACATAAATAAAGAGTTTTACATATATATATATGCACACATAAAAATTATGCATACATATATATACTACTTGTGTGTAATGCATATAAAGAGAGTGTGTGTGTGTATCCATATATATTTCCCCCTGTACTCAGCTCTGGTGAGGCTGCACCTTGAGTGCTGTGTTCAGCTTTGGGCCCCTCTCTACAAGGACATCGAGGCCCTGGAGCTTGTCCAGAAAAGGGCTATGAAGCTGGTGAAGGGACTGGAACACAAGTGCTATGAGGAGCGGCTGAGGGCACTGGGGTTGTTCAGTCTGGAGAAGAGGAGGCTCAGGGGAGACCTTATTGCTCTCTACACCTACCTGAAAGGAAGTTGTGGGGAGCTGTGGGTTGTGATAGGACTAGAGGGAATGGCCTCAAGTTGCACCAGGGGAGGTTTAGGTTAGAAATTAGGAGAAATTTCTTCTCAGAAAGAGCAGACAGGCATTTATATGATTTAATAACTTAGTGGGTAGTATTGGTGATAGGAGGATGGTTGGATGAGAAGATCTTGTAGATCCTTTCCAACCTTGTGTTTCTATGATCCTATGATTGGAACAGGTTGCCCAGGGAAGTGGTGGCATCACCGTCCCTGGGAATGTTCAAGGTTGGATGCTTAGGGACATGGCTTAGTGGGTGACATTGATAGTAGGGAAATGGTTGGACCAGATGATCTTGGAGGTCTTTTCCAACCCTAATGTTTCTATGATTCTATGTTACACTGATCAGAGGCTAGAGCCTGAGCTAGAAAAGGTCATGTGGAACATGTGAAACAAGGTAGATAAGCTGCAATTTGCAAGGTCCTGCAGTTTTTCCACCTAACCTAACCCATAAAAGGGGCCTAAAAGAAAGCTGGAGAGGGACTCTATCAGGGAGTGTAGCGATGGAACAAGGAACGATGGCTTTGAACAAATGGAGGGGAGATTTAGATTAGATGTGATGTGAGGAAGAAATCCTTCACTCAGCGCACAAAGTGCACATGGGAACTAGGGATGAAGATGCACCTATTTTAGGTCTATGGGACCTAAAGACATGAATCCCAAGATCCTGAGGGAACTGGCTGATGTAGCTGCCAACCTCTCTCCATCATAGTTGAGAAGTCCTGGCAGATTAGGTGATGTCCCTGGTGAATGGAAAAAGGGAACATCATGCCCCTACTCTTCAACAATTAAAACAAAGAATTGGACAAGAAGCACGACTCTTCAACAATTAAAACAATTAAGAGTCATTTCTTTTCAGAAAGAGTGGTCAGGCATTGGGACAGGCTGTCCAGAGAAGTGGTCAAGTCACCATCCCTGCAGGTGTTCAAGGAAATCACAGAATCATAGAACATCCCGAGTTGGAAGGGACCCATAACGATCATCAAGTCCAAATCCTGGCTCCACACAGGTCTACCCAAAAATTCAGACCATATGACTAAGTGCACAGTCCAAACACTTCTTGAATTCTGACAGGCTTGGTGCCTTGACTATGTCCCTGGGGAGCCTCTTCCAGTGTGCGACCACCCTCTCAGTGAAGAGCCTCTTCCTGATATCCAGCCTGAATCTCCCCTGTCGCAGCTTGACACCATTCCCTTGGGTCCTATTGCTGGTCACTAAAGAGAATAGATTGGCCCCTCCCCCTCCACTCCCCCTTGTGAGGAAGCTGTAGACTGTGATGAGGTCCCCCCTCAGCCTCCTCTTTTCCAGGCTGAACAGTCCAAGTGACCTCAGCCGCTCCTCATGCACCTTCCCCTCTAGGCGCTTCACCATCTTAGTAGCCAAGGAAAGGTTGGATGTTGTGCTTAGGGCCATGGTTTAGTGGGTGACATTGGTCGTAGGGTGATGATTGGACCAGATGATCTCAGAGGTCTTTTCCAACCCTAATGATTCTATGACTCTATGATTATATGTATATATATGTATGTCACTCACAAGGGGAGTGGAGACACAGGCACTGGGCTCTGCTCTCTGGGGACAGCGACAGGACCTGAGGGAATGGCATGGAGCTGGGACAGGGGAGGGTCAGGCTGAGTGTTAGGGAAAGGCTCTGCACCCAGAGGGTGGTCAGGCACTGCAACAAGCTCCCTATGGCAGTGGTCATGGCACTGATCCTGACGGAGTTCAAGAAGTGCATCGACAATGCTGCTCAGACACATGGTATGATTTTATCACCATGCATATTTCCTGAAGATTCAAAAGACTTCTGTGAGTGACAAGTAATATGAGATTGTGAGCTGAGTTGCCTCCAATATATGGATAGTCACCAGTACTTCAGTCTCTCCATGGACAGTCTCTGCTGTAGTAACACCCAGAGTAAATAGCCAAAAAAGCAACAGAAACAGACATAGAGAGAAATTTTGATTGTGTTTCTGCTCATTTTTAGTCACAGTCATATACGAGGGGACCTGGATGTCAATCAGCCCTCATCATTGTGGCTTCAGTAAGCCTGAAGGCATTAAACAAAACTCTAGGCTTTAGAGAGGTGATGCTAAACAAAAGGAAGACCACAAGTCTAAGGCTAATGAAGAACAACCTTAGGTTTTATGTGACCTGTGAGTACAGCAGAACTGCAGGAAAGATGGTGATGCAGAGGATACTTGTGGGACACAGCTGAACCTTTGCCTTTCTGCTACTGGATAAAAGAGTTGTCCTATATTTTTAACATACTCAGAACACAAAATAGACAAGATAGGGAAAAACATGTTTCTAAACACAATTGGCTAGAGTGTGGCTACCAAGTGACTGTGAAAATCCACACAATGTACAGCTCCCTACATTTTATGCAGTGT